CCAACCCAACCTCAATGTGATCTCATGGTTCTGTGATCTTCCAGGACCCTTCCAACCCAGCCCAACCCCATCCCATAGTTCTGTCATCTTCCAGGACCCTTCCAACCCAACCTCAATGTCATCTCATGGTTCTGTGATCTTCCAGGACCCTTCCAACCCCACCCAAACCCATTCTGGGGTTCTGTGATCTTCCAGGACTCTTCCAACCCAACCTCAATGTCATTTCATGGTTCTGTGATCTTCCAGGACCCATCCAACCCAACCCAACCCCAACCTCACTCTAACTCCACCCCGCACCCAATCTCAGCCCAAACCTGACCCCATACTTTCAACCACAACTTTCAACCCCAAACCCAACCTCATACCAACCCCATAACTCCAAACCCAACCTTCAACCCCAAACCCAGCCTCATACCCAACCCCATAACCCCAACCCCAACCCCATAACCCCAACCCCAGCCTCGTACCCAACTCCATAACCCCAAACCCAACCTCGTACCAACCCCGTAACCCCAAACCCAACCCTGATCCCAACCACATAACCCCATAACCCCAACCCCAACCTCGTACCAACCCCATAACCCCAACCCCAACCCCATAACCCCAACCCCATAACCCCAACCCCAGCCTCGTACCCAACCCCATAATCCCAAACCCAACCACGATCCCAACCCCATAACTGCAACATTCAACCTTCAACCCCAACCCCAACCCCGATCCGAACCCCATAACCCCAACCTTCAACCCCAACCCCAACCCCAACCCCAACCTTCACCCCCAACCCCATAACCCCACCCCGCCCCACCCCAAACCCCACTGCGTCCCATCACCCCGCAGCCCCCATAACCCCGTGCTGATTCGTTTCCCGCAGGCAAACCGTGCGACCCCGCAGACCGGCAGTTCAACACGTTGATCCCGTGGTGTTTGCCGCACACCGGGAATCGCCACAACCACTGGGCCGGGCTCTACGGCCGCCTGGAGTGGGACGGCTTCTTCAGCACCACCGTCACCAACCCCGAGCCCATGGGCAAGCAGGTGGGCCCTGACCTTTGACCTTTGACCTCTGGCCTTTGACCCTAACCCGCAACCCTGACCCCCAACCTTGACCCGAATCCTGACCCTAAAGCTGATTGAGACCCTGACCTAAGCTGAGCCTAAACCAACCCCGAACCCATGGTCAAGCAGGTGGTACCTGACCTTTGACCCCTGACCTTTAACCCCAACCCTGGCCCCCAACCCTGACCCCCAACCCTGGCCCCCAACCCTGCCCCTAATCCTGACCCTAATGCTGATCCAGACCCTGACCTAACCCGAGCCTAAACCAAACCCAAGCGCATGGGCATGCAGGTGGTCCCTGACCTTTGACCCCTGACCTTTAACCCCAACCCTGACCCCAACCCTGACCCCCAACCCTGACCCTAATCCTGACCCTAAAGCTGATTGAGACCCTGACCTAACCTGAGCCTAAACCAAACCCGAGCCCATCGACAAGCAGATGGTCCCTGACCTTTGACCTTTGACCCCTGACCTTTGGCCCCCAACACTGACCCCCACAGTGACCCTCAACCCTGCCCCTAATCCTGAGCCTAATGCTGATCCAGACCCTGACGTAAGCTGAGCCTAAACCAACCCCGAGCCCATCGGCAAGCAGGTGGACCCTGACCTTTGACCTTTGACCCGTGACCTTTAACCCTAACCCTGACCCCCAACCCTGACCTTAATCCCGAACCTAATGCTGATCCAGACCGTGACCTAAGCTGAGCCTAAACCAGCCCTGAGCCCATGGGCAAGCCCACATCCCCAAGGTGGGATGTGACCCCTGACCTCTGACCTTTGACCCCTGACCTTGACCCAAATCCTGACCCCTTGAACCTAAACCTGGCCCTGAACCTGATCCTGAGTAAGTCAACCCTGAGCCCCTGGGCAAGCAATTGACCCCTGACCTCTGACCCCCTGACCTTTGGACCCTGGCCTTGATCCTAACCCTGACCCCTGACCCTAAACCTGACCTTGACTCTAAGCCAACCCTGAGCTCATGGGTAAACACGTGGGCCTTGACCCCTGACCTTTGACTCCTGACCTTGATCCTGACCCCTAACCTTGACCCCCTGACCCTAAACCTG